GCTGACGGGCCCGGTTCGATGTGCGGGGTGTTCTCCTGTCTGTTGCAGGCAGCCAATCAGAAATAACGGAGTCAAAGCGCTGAAGGGAATCCCAAACAAAGAACAGCTGACAGCAACCGAGAGTCCGGTGGACATTGGAGAGGGAGGACTGCAGTTGATATGTGGAAACAACGTGAATAAATGATGACAATAAAAGAATGTTTAAAATATATATTGTGCCTTCAATTTGAAAAATTCCCTTGATCTATGTGTTCCAAAAATATTTACAAAGGAGCGATTAATACTTTCTCCTTGTGAAAGTAAAAAATTAATTAATCACTACTGGGAATCGAATCTGGCTACTGGCTGTAAATGTTGTATTCCTTATTTGGCTGGCTGTGAAGACGCTCGTGAGCACTGCATGTATAAATACATTCCATCCAAATCGCCGTTGGTCATTTTCAGCGTGAAGAGGAGAGAAGTAAGTTTTGTCAAAATTCTTAATGTCTAGGTTAATTTCTATGCTTATATGTTTCAAGCTGTAGGTAAATTCAATAACAAATTAATAACATCGAATCGGAAGTGAAATGTTACAATTTTACTTATTTGTTGATTATTGTTTCATGACGCGTAAAGTGTAAAAAGTCAGTTATTGGATTTGTTTTGGCTGATCAATTTGTACTTTTTTCTCTTAGAAATTAAAAATAAAATCTGTTTAAAGTTTTGGAGATTTCAGTATATATATTTTTCTACTTGTGGAATCGGGAGCCGCCCACCTGGGTCCAACGGGAGGGTAGTTTAGCGGGCCCGCCCGTTGAGTTGTAGCCATCAGCCTTTAATGTTTAGGTCTATCGGTCCCCCCAGGTGAGATTTAACAGGCGCTTTTAAGTCGGTGGTCCCAGATAAAAGCATTTTATAATAATAATAATAATTAATAATGATAATAATAAATCCAATAACTAACTTCTATATTTGTGGAAATGTATAACTTGAACATTTTAATGGTACTTAAGTTTCAATGGCGGCACCACCGGTTTTAACTTGCCGTTGGGCGGAGGTTGAACTATCCATCAGTTAAACACAATGCCTGTTTATTAACAGCCGTTGGGCAAAGCCTAACTGTGACTTCTTCGGGAAAGTTTACCAGCCGTTGAATAGCTGTTTGCAGGAAAACAGCCTGTTAAGATTTTGGTTCAACGGCTAAACCGTTTATCAGGTATTTACCTGCTATAAACTGTTGAACACCTCTTCAACCATTTGCCTGTTCAGTTGAACCTGCTGTTTATTGGGTGGTAAAGAGCTTCTTCGCTTTAATGTGTGTCCTTTGCCCCATTAAAGTGTGGGGCTGAGGAGGTGACACTGTTGACTGTTGATGGAGTTTGTAATATTCACATTTTGTTTCTGTCCTTTATTTCCCTAGGATGGCTTTAACTAGCATAATAAACGGTCACAAATCATCACCATTCTACAGACCACCACCGTTAAATATTTATATAATAAAAATAACAGAAGAAGAGAGAGTAGTTAGCTGGACTATAGCAGAAGGGAAAGCGAAGGCCCTGCAACAAAAGACAAATCAAATTTTGACTATTACAGATGGCACAACAGTTGCCAAATTTGTGATTTTTGAAAAATATTCTAAAACTTTATGTGAAGGGCAATCTTATGTGGTGAGGGGTTACAACCTCCGGGGCTCAGAGCCCCCCCTTATGCTGAATGTAACGCCAACAACACAATTCTACAAAGGGCCGAAGGTGCGTTGCACAGAAGAGATTCTACAAAAAGCAGAAGACATCATGAACCCACCAGCGCCGCTCACACATCTGGAGAAAGCACTGGAGTTGAAAGGGCTCATGACAGTGCAAGGAGAAATTGTGGAGGTATGATTTTTCTTACATTTTTTATAATTTTTTCCATAAGAGAGGACTTCATTTGCTAACTGTAAATCTCAACTGGGTACAAGATAACATGAAAGGCCCCATTACAGAACAGGATTAGGGTTACTCTAAAAGTACTTTTCTTTGTACTTCTCAGTTTGCTGCAGTCAGGCTCGTGACATCTGGCAAAATGAGTGTGCCAATCCGGACAGTGCGGCTGAAAGAGGTATAATAGCTTGTTTTAAGACTTGTTCAAAGCTGCAGTAGTCATTTCTTTTTAAAACAAATAATAATATTTGGATAAAGAAAGGTAAGTACCTAAACCCATTTGCCATTTCCTTAGGATATATATATATATATATATATATATCTCCGTGTGTGTGTGTGTGTCAAGTTTATGACACAAAATCAGCTTTTGTGTCATGAACCAGCTTGCATGTTAATTTTGCAGCGTCTGGTCAGAAAAGATAGATTGATGGGTTTTGTTTGTTTGTTGACTTTTTGAGAACTCTTGGATAAATCTCTAATTTGGCAATAATTCTTTTAATTACAGGGCAGCTGCACAATGCCTGTCTCCCTTTGGAGGGAGGCAACGTTGAACGAACTGGCCATTGGCCAAAAAGTGACGTTAACACATGTTCGGTGCCATGAGTCAGCGTATGGGCTACAGCTGCAGAGCACGTCTTTTACAAGAATACAGGTATGTTGTCAATTCCTGAAGAAGTAAATTAATCTAATTTTAAGTTGATTTAGACATTTAAACTGAAATGTGCATATCTTTTAAAATTGAGGCATTCTAATTTAAATTATTTGCAAAACTTTGGAGATATACAAAAAGTGTGAAAAGTGCCACTGCTCAGAGCTAGCCTTGCAATTTTTTGTCAACTTCAAAATTATGGAATGGCTTATTATATATTTTAATATTCTGTTAACCATTCAATATTTTCTGACTCAAGTCTATTATGCATTGTCAAAAGAAGACTTAAATAAAGGAGAAACAACAATAAATGTACCACAGATCTGGAACCAACGTCCACAATGTTAATGTTTTTGATGGTGGTGTGTGACAAAATGTCATGTTTGTTGTTGTTGCTTGATTTACAGTTGCTGACTGTATGATATTTTACTATATAAAGCACTTTGAACTTCCTGATTGCTGAAATGCACAAAGCAAATTATCTTGGACTTAAAAAACGTAAACCAGAAGTAAATAGCATACATAACAAAAGATGAAGCAATTTGCTACTGTTATTTGACATTTAGCCTTGGTGTTGGTTTGTTTTTTTTGTTCTCGTTTTAGATGACAACATGAAAACTCACAAACCTTATTATATTTCTAATATAAAATGCTATATTTTTGTACTGTATTAACAGGAAAAGAAGGAAGAAAAGAAAGCAGCTGTAGTCATTGGTGTAATGGACACAGAAGACACAAACGTCAAACAGGTCCTCCTTGAGAACGATGAGATCTACAGGATTTCTACGGATATGTGGAGCCCTTTTGACGTATTGCTGGAAGAAGGGAACATTGTGGTGGACATAGAAGTACATGGAAATGAAATCAAGAAAATAATCAAAAAATAATTTCAATTTAAATCCAAAAAATATTTTCAGTTTCATTGTTCAACTTTTTTAAACAATTTAAATTTTTTGACTAATCTCTGGTTATGCTTTTTAATGATATTTGCTGTATTTCACTCTTGAACTTTCAGGCCTTTTAATTTACCAATTTCAGGCCTTTTACAAATTTTTTGTTGCTTGCTTTGTTATAGCTCATCAAATAATCTGTTAATCTGTTCAAATTAAATTGGTGATTACTGTTGAATGACACAAAAAATATTTTCAGTTTCATTGTTCAACTTTTTTAAACAATTTAAATTTTTTGACTAATCTCTGGTTATGCTTTTTTAATGATATTTGCTGTATTTCACTCTTGAACTTTCAGGCCTTTTAATTTACCAATTTCAGGCCTTTTACAATTTTTTGTTGCTTGCTTTGTTATAGCTCATCAAATAATCTGTTAATCTGTTCAAATTAAATTGTTGATTACTACTGAATGACACTTTCTTCATATAACATAAACTTTGTTCATGACATTTACACCATATATATGCAAGTGGAAATCCTCCACTTATTCAGTGATTGTGAGTCTGAAAAGGAGTATGATGAAATTTAACTTATACAATCATATCACTTTTCCATTCATTGATTCACAGCGCTATCTGCCTGTTTTAAATATCCTTAACTCCTACGGCGCTAGAGGTGGTACAAGGTGTTAGTGAGAAATTTCCCAGGCGGAGGGGTAATTTTGGCACAATTCTTAATATCTGTAACACATGTATTTTCACATCATAACTGGGAATCTGTTCAAATTAAATTGGTGATTACTATTGAATGACACTTTCTTCATGCAACATAAACCTTGGTCATGACATTTATGCAAAATGTACCATTGTGCACTGTGTAATATACATAATAATGAACTGACAGCTCTTTCTATGACTCGTCACATTGTGACGAAATCACGCACAAATCAGAGACTAAATTGCAGCAAGATGTTTCCCTGCGCTCTGAAAACTGAATATTCCTCGCTCAAAGCAATAAAATGATATAAATTCTACTATAAAGTGAAAAAATGCCACTTTTATCAGTTCCCAAAGCCTGGGTTTTGTGCACAAAGCCACGTTGGAGAAATTCCCCTCCGCACCAATTTTATTTTAGCTTCCACACACGAAGCTGGAAGATAGCGGGGAGGGTAATCAGCTTGGCTCGAGTGATCTTTGAAGCAGGAAAGCGCCGTCGTTAGCACCTCATTCAGAGCTGCTAAAAACTCATTCAGAAAGCATGGGAGGGGGTTTCAGGTGAATTTCGACCCTGAAGTGAGCTTACAAAGCCAATATTTTCAAGTATCCAAAGTTAAGAGTCTTCTCTGTGTCAAGTCATACCGAACATTGTCAGTCAGCCGACAGAAAATTCGCTTTTTACACGCGTATTTGACGACAGGGCATTTAAATGGACACGCCCCTTTAAATCCGTCAGCTGATTTTAATTAGCCGTAAAACCATAACATTTTGGGCAAAACTTGTATGCGGGATAGTTTTCGAATGATGAAAGCCTTCTATAGCGGACAATACAAATAAATAATCAGTAAAAAAAAAGTCACGTGTAGCGGTTGTTTACGGAGATAGCCGAAGTCGGGCTTAAGAGGTTTTAAATAAACTTTAGTGATAAAGCTGAGGCATGTTGTTATTTTAATTCATATTTGTTCTCTTGATTTTGCTTTTCTTTTTGTCATTTTCAGAAGACAACATGTAAACTTACAAACCTGATTGTAGATAAATAACATAAGAGACAAAAAGGCAAGAGAAATCCAAACCTCTGAATATTGCTCAAATGGATAATCACAACCCAAACAAGCGAGAGGTTCATATTGAAAATGACAAAACCATTAACATTTCTGGATGTTGCTGTGGAGAAGAGATGCATCAGAGCAGATATAAGAATGAAACAACATAATTATTGTTAATGTATGACTCGAAGCGGCAATCATCCTACGAGTCTTTCTACATTTTCTTGCATTTCGGCAGCAGTCATTCAGCAATTCTTAGAATTCTCATAGCCATTCTTCAAGACTACCTCTTGAAGCTCATCGATTAAATGCGCTCATACGTCATTGTGCCTGCTAAACACATAACGCTGAGTGGAGTGGTGGACCGCTCCAAGATGGGCACCCTAAATCTCGTCAGCGACAATAGGTGAGAGCGGTCCATGAGGGTCTATTCTTATGTCTATGGTTGCCACCATAGACATTAATACGTAGACGCCTCATGGCGCGGGCCGGCCCGTTGTTGCGATACGAAGCAGCGTCCGCCATATTGAATGTGGAATATGTGCCACTAAGGTATGCAAGTGAATGGACCGAACTTTATAAAGTGCTGTTCTACAAAGTATTTTAAATTAATACCTGTTATTGACACATTTTTCTCACACACATTAATATATTTGGCAATCAAAGAAATGACTAGACAAAGTTTCTAACTTTTGATGTGATTATTTCATTTTTGGGGGGCATTTCTGAATAAAGAGCACAATGTTTTATTTGATAAAAATGATTCTGATAATTTTTATATTAAAAATGATGAATATAAGCCTTTACAGTGTTTTATCAAAGAATATATTTACATAATTCCATAATTTAACGTACATTTAACATTTCAAGACAAGAAAAAAATAATCCTGTATTTATTTTTTATACGTTATTGAGAAATGACGTTCATATGTTGTTCATGGAGGGACAGTTGGTAGAGCTGTTGCCTTGCAGCAAGAAGGTTTTGGGTTCGATACCTGGGCCCGGTCTTTCTGCATGGAGTTTGCATATTCTCCCTGTGCATGACTGGGTTTTCTCCGGGTTTCCTCCCACAGTCCAAAAACATGACTGTCTTAATTGGCTTCTCCAGATGACACCCTAGGTGTGAGTGTGTGTGCATGGTTGTGTGTCTCTGTGTTGCCCTGCGACAGACTGGCGACCCGTCCAGGGTGTACCCCGCCTGTCGCCCAGAACGTGAGCTGGAGATGGGCACCAGCACCCCTCCCGACCCCGCTAAGGGACAAGGCTGTAAAGAAAATGGATGGATGTTGTTCATGACAATGATGAAGAAGCAGTGTTATTTAATAAGACTTAAATCTAATACATTTAGAACTTTGAACGAAAGCCACAGTAAGGCGTCTATATGATTTTGAATGTAATTATTTTAATTTTGCTTAAATGGTTTGCACCTCAGGGCCACCGTAGTAAAATCGATAATTTGGGTGTAATCCTAATCTAGCCCTCCGTTAATTTTATTAACTGCGGGATGAAGAAAAAAAAGACCTTTCAGTATGGATGTGACCATGGCTCTGAGGGTGGATAATTTCTTCCAATGCCCGCTATTGCCGGAGGTCCTGCTTTAGTGTGTTAGGTGTTCTGTCTGTGGCAGAACAAGAGTACAATCAAGAACTCGTAAACCTGCCACGGTTTTATGGACATGCGCAGTCGAGTGGCTTTAAGTGGCGTTCTTTGAACGTCACTTTCATTTGCTGAGCGGGGCAAGCTTCTGCCGCCTCTCCCACAGTAAGTTTAATTTTTCTATTTAATATTTTGTTTATGACAGTGATAAAGAAGCAGTGTTAATTAAAAATACATTTTGAACTTTCAATAAAATCCACAGTAAGTCATAAGTAACGAAGGGAATTAATAATTATATAATTTTGAATGTTAGAATTAATTCTAAGGCGATAAAAAATAAATACGGTTGAAAATGGTATGTTTCAAAACACGAGTTGCACACGAGACTTAAAACTGGTGCCAAATCTTTCTTGAATTGATTTAACAAGCATGCAAAATCCACAGTCGTAATCGAAGTGGAAAAAATATCCGAGTGCTCCTGAATGTCTCTGACGCATGACGTGGCGTTCTCTGCCGTTACGTTCTCCCTTCTTCGTTTGTGCCCAACAGGTAAGCGGTGTTTTAATTGGGTCTGTTGTAATAATAAAATTATAAACAATGAGAGACGGTTTCGTTGTCAAAGAGTTAATACATAATTGGTTCTTAAGTGTGGCTGTAACTTAATAAGGCTGAAAACAGCTATACGTAGTTTTTTGTGATAGCAAACAATCATTAGCATATGCTAAAATTGACGGCTGCTGTATAACTCGTATGAAAGCCAGTCTATTCAGATTGAAGAGAGTATTTTTCCAATTAACTTAATTTATAACCATGTATGTTAGTATTTGTCTTCATGGTCAGCTTCTATTCAGCTAACTGTATAAAATTCCAACCGTTAATTAGACTTTTCAGTTGAAGTGAAACTGGGATTGTCAACCGTTAAGGGGTTGGTTTGTTCTTGGTGTGTGCCTTGCAGGTGAGCAGTGTTTTAACTGGGCCTGCCATAATCGACAAAGAATGATTTAACACAGTTTCATTCTTAAAGATGTTAATAATTGCTATTTAACCATCGCCATAATGAAGTTGTAAACAGCTAGCCATCCTATTTCTGATGGGTACTGTGCGTTAGCATGATATGCTAATATTGACGGGTGCTTGACTGAAAACCATTCTGTTCAGAATGAAGAATGTGTATCCAATTAGTATAATTCATAACCATGCATGCTACTCTTCGTCTTCTCGATCAGCTTCTATTCAATTTGAAAATCCAACAGTAATCCTCGGAGTTAATCGTAGCCAATAAGAGTATAAAGACCGCTGTTTCTGCAGTCAAGTTGGGTTCACATCTTTCTGTACTGCTAGAAAAATAGATTTCATTAATTAAAGAATATTAATCTGTAATCCCGATTTACGTAGTGAGTTTATTAATTTATGTAAATATTCCAAGTTAAATAGCTAACAATGAAATGTGCTTTCCAACTTGTGTATTTTTCTGATCAAGTCAATAATTGTGAGATAACACACAGTGTCTTTTCACAGACTGAAAGAAAACTGCTCACCAGCGTTCTTTGGCTGGTAAGTAGATTGCAAAGTTCAGCAGCCTGTCGAACACAAATGTTTTTAACAATAAATCAAGGCAAGACTGGACATTTCATACTGCTCCTAATACATATGTTAAATAATATTGATGTATTTGCAACTCAGAGTCATAATATTTATGAACATATTTATTAATAATATTTACATTTTTTTTAATTCTTGTAAATATTCAAAGAGAAACACTAAATAGTTAACAGTATCCATTTACCAATGTGTTGTGTCGTACTGGTGGTGTCTGTGGATCCTTGGATAACTTTGTCTATGTGTCTTTTCTCAGACATACCTCTGTTGACCAACGTCCCTTGGCTGGTAAGTACATTATTTTTAAAGATAAACTGCTTCTAGATCACATCAGCAAACTGCATTACAACATTCTCTATTTGGAAAGAATGAAAATATGATCAGATAGTGGCAATGCGGAAAACTTTAATGTGTTTTTTAAACTAAAATTAGACTAAAATTTGTCAATTTTCTCTGTCAAAGTATCTTAAAACCAGACTCGATGTCTTTTAAAAAATCATCTCAGACAGAACCTTGTCTGAGAAAATAAATAAATAAGTTGATAGTGTCACTCCCATCTCTTATCTTCATTGCTATAGAATTTCAGATGCACTATTAAAAAAGGCCCAAACGCTCAGCCCAAGCAGAATGATGCAAACATAGGACTGCTGTTTTTTAAGTTAGTCAGTTTTGTGTATGTGCCTCTGTCAAATATAAATTCAACCGTTTTTCCTCTCCTTTCAGAGTACCCAGACATTGCCTCCAAATTCTGCTCAGTGAGGTGAGTACTAGCAACGTGTGGCTTTATTTGATTAAAAAAAGTTAGCTGTCACTGAACACCTCAGTGATTGTATAAAAAAAAAACACTGAGGGTTCTGTACGTGGATAAATGTGCAAGGCTTTAGCATCTTTAAACCTCTGTAAGACAGCTGCTGAAAGTAATTTGATCAGCAACTGGATATGATGGCATCCATGTGTCTATGTTAAAATCAGTGTCTGATCCTCATCAGAATGTTTGAATTCATTCGGGGTCAGAATTTCTATGCTTTGACTTGCTTTTGATGGACAGCATCCATCTTTTGGGACTAGGACTAACTGAAGAAGCTAAATGGAACATTTTTATTTTTTTAGAATAGAAATAATTTTAAAATAAAAATACTCTTAATTGTGTTGAAAGAATTTAAATATGTCAACACTAAACAAAGAATACATACAAAATAACACCCTTTAATTGGGAAAGGAATGTTTGTATTTGGATCTGATTTGAATATTTGATGATAACTTATTTGATCTCACTTAGACATCTTTAATCAGACAGATGTATGTTGTCACTTAAAAAAAGAACCTGGTACTGGTTCTGAACATCATACACTCATCTCCCAAGAGGTTGTTATGAGCTGAGAAGTCCAGAAATGTTTAGATCAAAGCAGCTTGTGGACAGAGAACAAAGAACCTTAGCAGATAAGTGTGTTCTGGACTCCCGAAGGTTTTCTGGTCAGCTACTAACAAACTGTTTCTACTCTCCCTCACAGAGAGAAGTGGACCCAAACACCTGCCTTCCTGGTGAGTGGATGTTCCAACCTGGATCAGCCGAGCTGTCACAGCTGATCCAACCTGACTCACAGACAATTTGAATAAAATCATATCTACAAACATTTGGTTTAAATTGGGTCCAAACAGGATATGTTGGTTGTGCTCACATGAGGACCCTGTTGCCCAAAACCCTGTAAGAAACATGACTCAGTACAGCAACAACCCTCTGAGTTGTTGTCTGGACTCATGAGGAGGTTTTCTGTCACTCACTTTAAGCTCTGTGATGAAGAAGGTCCAAGTCAACATTAAATTCTGCTAAAGCAGCTGGCTCTTTTATTTCTCTGTTGGTATGCTGGGATGCATCTTATTTTAGTAAGAATATCATAATCTACATTAATTGAACTATTTTAATAAAGGTCATGAAAACACAGCAACAACCCAATTCACACCACAGAGCTTAGTTCACTTGTAGTAGCTATGCATCTCTTCACAGTTTAAACCTTTTCAGATGGAATATGACCCAGAAGCTGCTCTGTTGAGAATGTTTCATTTTGATGTCTATTGGCTGTTCTTTGTCTCGCAGGTGTTCCACCGACACTCAATTCTAACCACTGTCCGAAGCTTTTTAATTTTCCAACTGTGTTTTTCTCTTTCCTCTTCCTTCCAACATATCTGGAAAACCATTTTCTGTGCATTTTACTATCTCATCCCTAAACTCTCCTACAAATTTTTTCAAAAACCAGCATCCCAAAAGGCGGCCTGGTTTTTCCGAATTCAAGAGCCTGGTTTACCAGTAACCAGAGTTCCCTTTTTTTCTTCAACCATCAGTTTACTGCCAAATTGATGTTTGCCTGTCTCTCTTAATCTAGTTTACCAGTAACTAGATCTGTTTTTCCCCTCACATCTTACGTCCTGTGACCTCTGAACAGTATTGGCATTGATTTTGTGGCATGAATTTTGTGGCATGAATTTTGTGGCATATTTTTTGTGGCTATATATTTGAGAAACCATACTTCTATCGAGTTTATCAGTAACTCATCTGACTATCATTGAGAATCTGAGAGAATCTACCCTCTCACTGCTCTGTCTTTCCTGTCTACCGCTTTCCACCGTAACGGTAAATAACTGGGAAGCTTCACAATCCTAAGACGTCTTGTTAAGTAATAATTTAATAAGTTTGAAAAGCTTCCATTTAAAAATTGGCTGAAAATAAATAATTACTCAAACAGGTCAACTAAAAACTTGATCTGTATAAATTTTAAAATTGAAAGCAAAGTTTGCTTTCTGCTGAACTACATTGCTCCAATTCTAATTGGACTTAAGTAAAGCTCTGGTCTTGTCTGACGAAATATATTTATAGATCACTATTGGCATAAAGTTGAAAACAGTAAAAAGAAAAAAACTTTAAAGTTTGATATTTCTAAGACGTCTTTTTGAGTAATCTGATTTGGACCTGAAGTTTAAAAAAACTTCTATTTCAGAATTGGATTATAATTTTCTATTTTAAATAATTTCTGAAACAGATCAACTACATTCTTGATCTGTATACATTTAAGAACTCAGTACAAAATTAATCAACTGAGCTAAATTTTTATTGAACAAAATTTCAATTGGACTGAAGTAAAGCTCATTTCTTATCTGAGCTGCCTAATTCGTGTTCCTGCCTGCTGCTACTGACTTTGGACTGAACTTCAGGTTTGTGCACAGGTTTGTACTGACTAGCTATTCAACACTTATACATTCATTGTATGTACATTGGTGTAGTTTTGTGTTGTATCTGCTTGAGATAAAAAGATCAACAAGGACCATTGGAGTTGCTGTTTCCTGCCTGACCTGTCCAGAAGTCTAATCAACAATGCCGAGAAAGAGTCAGCGTTCTCAGGCTCAGAAGCTCAGATGGCAGAAGGAGAAACGGTCTCAGAGCAATCAAGTGACAGGTACTGACTCTGAGAACAACAAGCAGCAGTTTCAGAATATACCATACGCTGATGTTGCACAGAGACAGCTTGCTAGAGATGATATGTGTGTTGGGGAGTCTTTTGAACGACAGCAGGTAAACGATAGAAGTGAAAACAGTTTATCCTCTGTGGTAGCACTATCTCATGGAAACACTGCCCAAACAGCTTTCCAGCATGATGCAGGAGATACAAAGCAAAGTGCATCACAGGTGTCGTATGCTGACATGGTGAAAAGGGGATGTGGTTCAGCTCGGCAGTCTCGAGTTAATGTAGAACTTCATCCATCAGTGACACATGTTTGTGCCTCACGGAGTCAGGATTCGTTGAAATATGGAAAATACAGGAACAGTCAGTGTATGGCCAACAGTTTGGTGTTTCTGGCTTTTTTCCACGAGAATGAAATGATTACCAGACCAGATCTTGACCTAGTTCTGGATAAAGGCGATGCTGTGTACAGACAGGCTAGAGAAAGATTTCCTCGTAGCATCCATTTGGCAACTGATGAACTACCAAATGAGGTAAGTGCACGCAGGTCAACATATCAGGTGGACATGACTCCATTCCCTGTGTGTGGAACATTTGGAGGTGGACAGACTTATCCAAGCCTGGAAGAAGCATTGAGCCATTTGTCATCAGATGTACAATATGGACTTCTGATCATGTCAGGCTTAGGCATTGCTGTTTTCAGAAGCAGATCTGGTGAATATGGATACTTTGACCCCCACACAAGGAACAAAAGTGGAATGCCAATGACATTCAGTCT